AGTTCTGCATCAGCAGCTCCACTACACAGCTGACCAGCTGGAGGAGGGAGAAAGTGTTTCATGAGTTGAATTAAGGAGCAGCAGCAGGAAGACAGAGCAAACCCGGGGCAGAGTCAGGGCATCAGTGTAAACACCTGCTCACAGGAGCACTGCTTTGGGACCCCTTATGCTTTACGGTCTCAAACAAAGTTTGGCATTTGCTACACCCTAGTGTCCCAGGTCACCATACTGGGGCACTAATTCTGCTCCAGATCCAGCATCAAGAACACTTAAAACACCAGCCTGGTTTTCCTTTAAAATTTAGAGAATAAAAGAATGCACACCAGAATGTCACAGAAGCGCCGTCTAAACAAAAGGCGATATATAAAACAGGATTGTTAATCCTGAAGAATGAAGACTTTTATGCCAAAACATTGACAGTTGAAGTAATAAATATATTTTGGAGTATGTAGTGTGTGTCCAGTCCATCCCGTTTTTTATATGTTGCTTTCAAGTTTCCAGTCCCAGTATTGACCAAGCCCAACTTTGCTTAGCTGCTGAGATCTGACAGGAGCAGGCTACAGGGTGCTGTCAGAATATTGCAGTATCAGCTGTGGATGTGGATGTTTGCCTGTCAGGCCTTCCAGCATTTAGACCGTTCATGTTAATTTTTAAATGAATTTACTTACGTCGTGTTCTTACAGTTGTATGCAAACATTTGGGCACCCCTGGTCAAACTGCACGTTTCACAGAATCTCTGCGTGAAAAGAAATAAACACAGCCTCTGCAGGATACAAGCTTAAACATGACATATTTCTGCACATTTCAATGCACAATTGCTATTACTAATTACAGATTGAAAAAAGTAAAACAGTGAATGCAATATGTGTAAAGGTTTCGGCACCCCGACAGTCTGTACTTAGGTACACCTCCTTTGGCAGAAGTCACAAATTCAGGACTGGGCAAAAACCTGACCAAAACAATGTAGAAAAGGGTGTTATATTCAAGTAGCACAAACATAAAATACACAGTGAAAATGGAAAAGCACCAATCCTGAAGAGAGAAAGACTTCAGCATCATATATGCATCATTTTCATCTTCTAGACATGGTAGGGAAACAAATCAGGATATATAGTTAAAATTGTCTGATTTAATTCAATGGGTTTTGTGTTAAA